CCGCCCCCCCCCCCCCCCCCCGCGGCTGCTGCTGGGATATCAGTCCCGCCCTTTGCTACCTGAGCTGGCCAATCCATGCGCTCCCGAAGGGAGGCCGGCCAATCGCCGCCGTCCCTTCTCCACCGCCAGGAAGAGGGCGCTCCTGTAGGCTTGAGCAGGCCCAGCCAATCCCGGGAGGGCTTCCATGGCTGGCAGGTCTTCCAATAGCCGCACTGGAAACGGCAGGGGAGGGCTGGCGGAGGCTGAAGCCAAGAGAAGGACTGGCAGATTATTCTCGTCCACGAGGACTGCACTCGCGCATGTGCACTGGGCCTTAAACCAAGCTATGCCCATTGCCTTCCTACTCAGCGTTTGGGGCTTAACGCCTTACGTTGAGCATCGTTTTCCGGCCTTTTTACGAGATTTATACTATCCTATATACTTATACTGAGGAGACGAGGCCCAGCAATTGTTTAAATGCCCTAGGACATCAAAAGACTGAAGCAATCGAGCCTCGGCCGCTGGAAGTTAGTGCCTGCGCTCAGCTCCGCCCCTCTTTCGGCGAAGCAACTAAGCATGACCCTCCCCGCGACCTGTATCGCGGCAGAGCTAGCGGGGAGCAAGCGCGGAAAAGCTTGGCGGGCGGTGTGTCGCCATGGAAGCAGATGGGACCTACGAGCCGGGCTTCGTGGGTATACGATTCTGCCAGGAATGGTATGGCCAGGGGAGCAGGTGTGGAACGAAGGGGAGCAAGGGCTGGCTCCAGGGCTATCCCCTGACCTACCCCTCCTCCCCACAGTAACAACATGCTGTACCCCAAGGAAGACAAGGAGAACCGCATTCTTCTCTACGCGGTGAGCACGAACCCGCGGGGCCCGGTCTAACCCCACCGACCCACCGGTTCCTTCCCCACCCCCTGTGACCCTTATTCCCTGTTCGTCCCCGACATGCCCTGGTCTCGCCTCCTGACTAACCCCCAAGTGAACCTGTTTTGACCGTCCCCGAGGTGACCAGCCTCAAGACTCCATCCGGTAGTCCTCTCCTCCCGCCCAGGCCCTTCGGGGATCCCCCTGTGACCCCCGCCCGTATACTCGTCCTCTCGCAGTGCCGGAATTGCGATTACCAGCAGGAAGCCGACAACAGCTGCATTTATGTCAACAAAATCACGCACGAAGTGGAGTGAGTGGTGGGACCGAGCTTGGGGGCGGGAGTGTTGGTCAGGCAGGCCGGGTCAGAGCGTAATTATTCACACACCCTCATCCCCGCAGCGAACTGACCCAGATCATCGCAGACGTGTCCCAGGACCCCACATTGCCGCGGACGGAGGACCACCCTTGCCAGAAGTGAGCGGGCATCTGTTACTGGGAAGGCGGAGTAGGGAGGGATGGGGGAGTCAGAATCCGAGTGAGCCATCCCGTCAGGTGCGGCCACAAGGAGGCAGTGTTCTTCCAGTCGCACAGTGCCAGGGCCGAGGTGAGTGGCATGTCCGCTCTCTGGGTATGTGGGGCTTGGGCCTTTCCTGAGGTGGGAATACCCAAATTGAGGTGACCCAGACCGTTAAGGGTCGCCAGACCTTAACAATTTGCAGAACCCTTGTCTGCTATTGGGTGGAAGCCCTGCTGGGTGGAGGGTTCCATGCTTTGCCCTTCCCTGGGTCTAGACCCTTCCTAACCGTGGGTCCTTTTGCCAGGACGCCATGCGCCTGTACTACGTATGCACTGCCCCGCACTGCGGCCACCGCTGGACCGAGTGACACCCCCTTTGTTTCATGTAATAAATGTCTGGTTCTGTGTGCTGGTTTCCTGTGTTTATTTATAGCCTCATGGGAAAGCGTAATTAGGCAGTTTCAGGCAGCGCGGTGCAAGGCACGATGTTGGGCGTAGGCATCCGGCCGGGAGCTGGTGAAGCCGCAGTCCTCGCACACATGCAGCTTCTCCCGGCGCTCACGGTAAGCGTAGCTGGCTGGCTGCCCGTGTACCTTGGCGAGATGAGCTTCGAGGGAGCATCGTTGGGTAAATGCTTTCCCACAAGCTCCACAGCGGAATGGCCGGATCCCTGCTTAGAGTTAGGGTGGAGGGAGACAGGACAGAGGGCAATTTCCTATAGACTAAAGCCTCCCTACCTTGCCCTCCAATGTTGTGTTTCTGTCCTTCTTCCAAACTTGTCAGACTGTTCCTCTTGTCACCTCATTTGCTGCTTCCACCCAGTGCAATCATGGGCTGACACCTCTGTCCTCCCTGACCTCAGCAAGATGTTCTTTCCCCTGGGGTAGGGAATGAGGTGTTCCCTTGCATCCTCAATCTGAAACCTGAGTCCTGTAACACCAATTGTCACACTCCTCTGGAGGACCCTACCTTGATGCCACCTCAACCTACCCTCAGGGGTCTGAGGTACCCTGTATCTCCTGCCTTTTGTTAACTGTGTTCTCACCCCCTACACAAGCACTGGAATATCACATTTTGGGTACTTCCCTCCATTTCTTTCCATCTCTATCTTGGGCCCAGCAGCCCCTCCCCATCCTTGCCACTACTCACCTGTGTGGGTCCTCATGTGGCGCTTGAGATCGAAGGCGTCATGAAAGCCCTTGCCACAACAGCGGCACACATGGCGGCGTGCCGGGCTGTGACACTTGAGGTGTCGCGTCAGCATGCGCTGCAGTGGAAAGGCCTTGGGACAGAGTGGGCAACCAAGCGTGCCGGGGTTTCTGGGAGCAGAGGCCAGGGTGCCCTGCATGGGCTGTTAGGAACACAGGGTAAGTCCATCCAGCCAGATCCTGCCCCACTACCTTATCTGCAAAGAAGTCTATGGAGTGCCCAGAGCCAAGGAGGCCTCTGAAGGCTGGAGGCTGACTCATGGATACATGCATACTCTCCAAGGCCTTTCCTCTGGCCCCCATCACTCTTTATTTCTCCATAGCAAGTACCATCTTCCAACGTAATAACATACTTTTCTACTTTTGTCTATCCCTTTAGCCCCCACCAGAATATAAACCCCATAAGGGAGTGAATTTTTGTCTTACTCCTGCTAAATACTCAGCACCTAGAACAGTGCCTGGCCCAAATACTGAAATAACTGTGAGCACATTACATTTCTGCTTGTGCTTTCCTTCTTCCAATTCATGTGCAGCTGGAAATACCCCTCTAAGAGGCTCTAATATCCCTCATCCCCATCTCTCTCTTGTCTGATGTTCTGATCTGCTCCACTGGGTAATAGATCCCTTGGAGCAAGGACTGTGGCTGTCCAGCCTGGGAAAGTGGTGCTTAGGACAAGGCCTGAACTCCCTGCCCAGGAGAGGCATTTCTAGGAGAGAGAACAGTGGTGGAAAGGTCCTAGGGTTGGCCTTCATGTGCAAATAAATGGCTCAAGAAGTAGGGGGCTGTCAGTTCAGATGAGAGAGCAGGCAGGGGTGAAACCGAGTTGGGTCTTGGCCAGCTGCAGACTCACCGCTGCCCAAGGGTTCCCAAGGCAGGAAGACTGAAGTACCGGTGGGCCTCCTGGGCTGCTGCAGTCTGAAGAGAGAAGCCAGACAGGTGATGCTTTGCACCTCCCCTGCCCCTTACCTCCAAGCCTGATGAGGTGCCCACCTGGGATATAGGCATCTCCCCGGAGCTGGTCAGGCAGGTGGCCCCAGTTGGGTGGCTGTGGACGCCGACTCCTGACCAGGAAAGCACGGGGCATCACCTCGGGGATGGTGAGATGGCTCCACACAAACAGGCACTGCCTTCACCTCAGTCAGACCGTAGTCCCAGAACAGATGACAATCCCAGGTGGGAAGGTGGGGGCGGGCCATGGGGGAACCTCATTCTCTTCATGCAAATTTTGACAGGCCCAGCGAGCAGACTTAGCTGGCTCCAGTTACCACTGCTCTGAGGCCTGCGATTTACCCGCCTTATAGGTTTAGGTTCCTGAGGGAATGGGGGCAGACAAGCACTGACACCCCCAAGAAGGGCCAAGCAAGGGAATACAGGCCTAACAGCTCTTGGGAATGGGGGGGAAATCTTGGCCATAGGTGGGGCTGGGTGTCCCCCCATGGTATCCACTCAGCAGAGGACTGGGGTCCGTTTGCCAGGCAAATCAGTCACCACCGGACATCCAACAGCCTACTTGCTTATTCAAATCACTGCAGCTGTCTGCAGAAGGGGAGGGGGTGGCTGTGATTGCCTGTTTCAGCAGGTAGAATGGACCACAGACCTGCTAGGTAAGGGCAAAGTGAGGATCCAAGTTGTGCATCCTCAGACAGGAGGCTCTACCTTTCTGATCCAGAGCTGGTACCCTGGGCATACATGCACACGTGCCTGACATGTTTTTCAAACAGCCAGGGTCGGGATCCCATATGGTTAGCCATATGGGATCCAGCTCTCTTCATCAGTAGGCCATGGGGCCAACCCTTGTTTGACTTCTTAACTAGGGGCTAGGGATTTTGGACATTCCCCTTGCAGTTGTTTTGTCATTTACCCAACAAATTTCTGAGCTCTGACTATAGACCAGGCCTACCTCAGCACTGAAATGAATGCTTAAGTCAATGGTGTGACACACCAGTGACAACCCAGAATGATCAAGACTGTGAGGGGAAGCACAGGCAGTGGTCTGAGCCATGTTGGAGAAAACCCAGGGGGGTCTGGGAGCCCAGAAGAGGCTGCTGATCCAGCCTAGGGGCTCAGGGATGGAAGTCACTTGAAGAAGTTTTAGAGGAAAGGGGAGGGTGTTCCAGACAGAGGGACAGTCTGGCAAAGTCTTGGTTGGTAGCAGGAGAAAGAATATTCATTTCTTCACCTTGCCTGAAAGCCAGTCCCACTAATTCATTGGAAGCAAGGGAGACAGTGCTGAGGAGCTGCTCACTGAGCTTTGCTGTTTTCACTTCTACAGGTCATGTCTCAGTGAGCCTCAGTTTCTTCATCTGGGAAATAGGAACAAAAAGGCTCCCCATTACTGGTTTGTGTGGAAAATCTATATAGATCAGGGCCAGCATGTGGCATAGAGGTTACGGTGCTGGATCCCATATGGCCAGTGATGTAGTTGGAGTCCCAGACCTGGCAGCTTGCAAATCATGCTGGGCATATGCTTGTGTGCCAGAAAATTCTGAGAGGAGACTAGAGACCGTCCCCCACCACCACCCCCGGGTTAATTTCTCTCTCTCTGGCTAGTGCTCACAAAAGAAACAAAAACTATATATAGATCACATGGAGAGAACGCTTAGTGTGGAGTCTGTTGTGCAGCAGATATAGAAACAGGCAGGTGGTTAGGGAATCTGGGGGGAGGTGGCGAAGCCAGCGTCTGGGACTCAGTTGCCCCATCTATAACATGTATTTTTTTTTTCTTTTTAAAAAAGAATTATTTAATTTTATTTACTCATTTAGTTTAATTTGACCAGAGAGAGACAGAGAGAGTGAAAGAGAAAGTGAGAAAGCAAGCCACCAGGTTCCTGGACTTGAACCGTGGTCAGCCATGTGGGAGTGTCCAGCACCTTAGCCACCAGGCCACCTGCTGGTCCTCTATAACATGGGCTCTCAGCGGTGCCTCCATCTCGCCGTTGTTGGATGTGCAGCCATGACTAGTGTGCCTGGCACAGGGCTGGCAGCTCAGTACCCAGGAGCTGTCCTGACAGTTCCTGTGGAGGGAGGCCCAGGGTAGAGGCAGAGTGCAGGGGGCGAGTTGCAGGGAAAGATGACCAGGCACATAGTTGGGGAGAGTGATTTTGTTCTCAGATGCTTAGTCCTCTGTGCCCACCACTATGGGGCATCTGTGTTCCGTGCTGTTGTAGGGAGGAAATGCAGTGCCAGGTATCTTCATTTGCCCCCAGATACTGCTCTGTCCTGTTCTGCATTACTCCATGTCCCCAGAGGCTGACTGGGTGGGCTCTGGGTCACCTCTGCCATGGATCACTTCTGCCATGCCCCATGGCTTCCAGGAGAATTTGGATGACGGGTGCCCCACAGGAGATGTGAGAGTAAGTTCAAGGTGATTTTCCTAACTCTCCTACAGGATTGCAAGACCCACAGCTTCCCTCAGGGCAATCCTTAACCAGGATTTGCTCTTCTAGGTTTTCTTTTCTGCCTTGTGGCCTGGGGACAGTGACGGCTGGGGTCCTATACCAGTCCTGGTGGTTTCCCTAGTCCCTGGCCACTCCTTTGCAAATGAACCCTTTGTTGAACTCTCTGGAACATCCTACAAAAGCACGCTGTTTTCCTATTGGGACACTATCGGTTCACCAATCACATGCACACATACATACTCCACCTCTGATGGTTTTATTTTCCTCATTTTTAGAAAAATGTGCTATAAGGGCCAGCAGGTGGCATGGTGGTTAAGACGCTGTACACTCCCACATGGCTGACCACAGTTTTGAGTCCTGGACCTGGTGGTTTGCTTTCTCACTTTCCCTTTCTCTGTTTCTGTGTGTATCTCTCTCTCTCTGGTCAAATTAAAAATAAATGAATGAATAAAAATTTTTTAAAAAAAGAAAAATGTGCTATAAAGCATGTGTGCTTCCACAGAGAGAGAGAGAGAGCAAGAGAGCGAGAGGAGAGTGAGCACTCTCCAGGGGATGACCATGGTGCAATTCCTACTCTTCCATTCTCTCAGGATTTGGGGTATGCATACACATGTGTATGGAATGTTTTTTAAGCCATCTAGTCCAGGACTTGAACCACTAACCATGTGGGATCAGACTGCCTTAACCACACCAGTGGTTAAGTGGTGTGGCCCTTCACTTATTTATTCTTTTAAGTGGCCCTTCATTTATTTATCCTGAGTACATTACTGCTGCTGCACTTCAGTCAGCCCAAGCAGTGGTTTCTTAACCGGGTAGCTTGTCCAGGGAGAAAGTCTTGTCCTTCTAGGGCTAAAGAGCTTGGCCCTTGGGAAAGGGGAGTGGCAGACACTGGATCTGTTTTGTCTACCAGCCACCCTTCTTGGTTGCTTGAGAGAATCCAATTTTGTTTGAGCAGCAACATGGCCAGGACAGGAAAGGTGGTCCAAGCAGATCAAGCAATCTCCATTCCTGTGCCCACGACTGATCTGAGGGAAAGGCCTATGAAGAACATACCTTTCCTGCTACCCTGCCAGCTACCCTGTTTCAGGCCTTTGGCCCTGGTTGGATGAAGGTGTACTGCTGCGTGCTATAGCAGCTGTGTTGCAATGAGGCCCTTAGCTGGAGGGTGAAACTGACTCAGAGGGTGGCAGAGCGGAGAAAGAGCCAACCCCATGATGTCATAATTAAGAACAAACATCCCTACAGCATGGGCCCTCATAACCCAGGTGTTTGCTATTTGGACTTGAAGGCTTCACTGTGATATAGGGTGGGAATAAAGTAATTCCATGAGGGACAGAGGGGGTCTGGACACCAAACCTTGCCTCATGGATCTTGGGAGATGGTGACCCAAATAGGCAAGGGGGTCTGCAATCTTGCAGTACCTCCCTCCAGACAGAGGTTGAGGTGGCCTCCAAGTTCTGGGCCACCTAGACCCTTTAAACCAGGGAGAGGGCCTTGACAAAGAGTGCTGGACATTTATCCAAACACCAAGAGTGGGGATTTTATTTAGAAAACACTGTTGCGTTGTGAATGTTTCTTGGCCTTGAATGTCATTAAGCAACAAGACCTTACCTAGAGGAACCTCCATTGCTCCTCCCACCTCATCCACCCTCTCCCCCCACTCCCTGTAGTCAAGCCATCCTGGCTTTGCTGTGGTCCGTACAGTGTTTGGTCTCCCCACAGGGCCTCTGCATTGGCCAGTTCTGTCTACCTGGGGAGGTTCTTGAGATGTCCTTTATTAAGCCACAGTTCAAATGTCACCTCAGAAAGGCCTTCCTGGACTCTTGCTATAGATTGAATGCTTGTCCCTTCCAGAACTTGGGTTGCAATTTAATTGTCAAATGTAATAGTATTGGAAGGTGGAGCCTTTAAGAAGTGATTAGGCCATGAGGGTTTTCCGTAATGTCTTGAAACCAGGCCTTCAGGGGGCTGGGTTCCCTCTTGTTCTCACTTGCCCTCACACTCTTGCCCTTTTACCTTCCTTCAATCATGGAATGATGTAGCAAGAAGGTATCTCACCAGGTGCTGAGCAAGGACCACCCAGGAGGGGGAGGGGGAGAGGAAGGGGGGGAGGGAGAAGCAGCTCAATGGGCTACAGACAGGCCGTGGGAGAGGCCAGGCCCAGGGATCATCATTGCCGCAGTTCTCAAACTTCTTGGGAATGGTGGTCCCACGCCCCTGGGGACAGAATCCTGGAGCAGTGCCCAGCTTCAGCAAACGCAAGAACCCTGGGTTCATCCTTCTGAGCGTCACCATCTACCCTTTCCTCTCTGCATGCACCTGAAGGGGGCTTTGCAGATGGGCCGGGACAAGCACCAGGACCGATTTCTCCAAACTGTCAGTTTATTTGCGTATGACACCTATTTCTTCAGAAGCAGCAAGGCCATGTGGAGGGAGCACCGCTGGCCCTCAGTCCCCCCGCGCCTTCCTTCGAACGGCCTGCACCAGCAGTTCTGAGTAGTGTTCCAGCAGGGCATGCAGGTCTTGGCTGGCCAGGGGACACAATGAGGGTTGGGAGGAAGGACTTGGGCTGGGCAGGGCTTGGGCTGGGGTCACGTCGGTCCCAACCAGGAAGTCGTTAGCCTCCAAGTGACTGCGGATCCACAGGAAGGTGGAGGCCAGCTCGGTCTGCGCCTGCTGTTGCTCGGCACCCACCTGCTGGCTGGAGACCAACTGGAAGGAATGCCAACCTCATCAGGGGCCACCGAGGCCAGGCGAGCCCATGAGGCCCCCTCAGCCCTTTCCCCGACCCTGGGGCTTGGCTTACCACATGGTAAAGATCAAGGGCTTCCTGGAAGGCCGTCTGCAGCCTGTGCATGATGTTCCCCACACTGCTCAGCTCAAGTGGAGCTGGGGACAGGACCTCAGCTGGCCCCCTGGGCTGCTCCCAGTGTCCAGGGCTGCTCCGGATCACACTGAGTGCACCTGGGGTAGAGAGGAGGGAGTAAGCATGACTATTGGGTCATTGTAAAAGTTATGATGCATCTTTGCATAGAAAAATGGGAAAATGCATGACTTTTCCGACGACCCAATACTTTCTGGCTGGTCTGAGAGGCCAAGGGGCTGGGCTGACACCAACTGCCATCTCTCTGTCTGGAATACTTCCTGCAGTCCCTAAGGCTCCCTGCCTACCTTCTGCAGGTCTGTGTTCAGAGGCAACCTTGTCTTTGAAGCCTTTTCTGATAACCCTGCTTAAAATTACACCCATTGTCCCACACCCTCCCACAGGCCCCTTCTCTTTACTTTGTGATCCGTGTGACTTTCCTGAGAGATTTTGTCTGGGCAGCTCCCCCAGTAAAGATGGCAATTCTTTGTAGTCTATATTTCCAGGGCCCAGACAAAGCCCAACGTGTCCATTAAAGTCAAAGAGGTCTTCAAAAAGTTCATGGAAAATGTGTATTATGAAAAAACTGCATGGATTTCCAAAAATTTTGCACAAAAACTCATGTTTTAATTTTATTTTCTTTTTAATTTGTTTAAATTTTTTTTTTTTAGAATTATTTTATCTAACTTTATTTATTTATTTATTTATTTTAATTTGAATAGAGAGAGGGACAGAGCGCGAGAGAGAGGGAAAATGAGAAAACAAGCTGCCAGGTCAGGGACTCGAACCACAGTCAGCCATGTGGAAGTCCAGTGCCCTTGACAACCACGCCACCTGCCAACCCCTTATTATTATTATTATTATTTTAATGTGACTAGAGAGAGACAGAGAGAGAGAAAGTGAGAGAGTAGGCCACCTGATCTGGAACTCAAACCGTAGTCAGCCATATGGCAGTCCAGAGCCTTAACCACCATGATACTTGCTAGTCGCTTTAATTTTCCACAAACTTTTTGAAATTCCCTTATATCTAAGTAAATGAATGAATGAAATGAACAAATAGCACAGTGACTGCGGCCAGGTCGAGCGCTCACCTTTGGAGCCAAACCACCTCACACACAGGATGAACATAGGGGACAATTTCATATCCCAAGGGTGGTACTCACCAGGGGTAGACTCCAGGAGGGAGACAGTGCTATCAGGGATGCCAGGCCTGGCCTCTGACAGCTGGAGGCTGTAGGAGTGGCCAGGAGGGTTGAGGGGCTCAGGGGCTGGGAGCCTTGGGAGAGAGGGAGAGTTGTGGAGCCTTAGGGCACTTGTATCCATGGCTCTGGGGGCTGGGAAGCTGGTTGTAGTGACCGTGACACCAGGCTGGGTGTCTTTGGGCTCCTGGGACCATCCACATCTGGCTGGCAGCTCCAGGGTGGGTGAGGGAAGCAAGAGCCTGTCACAGACACTTGACAGGGTCAGTCTCAGGCTGGCCCGGGCCTCATGATTACCCCAGGCGGGCTCTTGGCCTTTGCTGCTAGAACTAGGTGTTGCTGCGGCAATGGCAGCCTGGGGCTCCTGGCCCAGGGAGGCCAGCTCTCCCACAGATGCAGGCCTATGGAGGGGCATGGCTGGCTCAGTCATAACAGGGCCTTCACTGTCCCCAAGAGAGATGCTGTGTGACATTCTGGCATGGGAGCTGGCAGTGGTCTCCGTGAAGGCACAGGTGGAGGAGGCACAAACAGCCTGAGCTGGGCCTGAGGTTGGCACAGATGTGGGCGTCAAAGGCGTCCCGTCTGTAGGCAGCTCTGAGGAGGGGACACAGGACACCAGGCCTGTCGCACAAGGGGCTGTAAAGGAAGCAGATGATCGGTCTCATACCCCAGCCACAGAGCTGAGGGGCTGGCCCCCCAGGGTGCTACAGAGTCTGGATGGATACCATCCTCAGGGCAACTGGGAGCCCAGGGCTGTACCCTGGGATTCGGGTACTCACTCAGGGGGCACCAGGCCTCCAGGGTCTCGAGGGGTTCCCCAGCCTTCCTGGCAGAGAGGCCCTGCAAGGATAGCTCCGAGGTGAGGACAAGGCATCTTGGCTCCCCACCCTGTGCCTGGAGGGAGGTGGCCTCAATACTCACGTTGGTCCTGTCTGGGGAGGCGTAGCCAGTACCTGCTCTCGGGGGCTCTGCTCTGGTCTGGCTTCCCCCTGGGTCTGTGGCCTTGACCTCAGCAGACTTCACAAGGAGCAGGGGCAGCCGGGGAGGGACAGTGTGGGCGAGCCTGTTGGGGAGGAAACCAGGTAGGAGATGGGGAAGGGCAGTTTGCCTTGGGGCCCTGAGGGCCACAGCGCCATCTGGGCTGGGAGGACAGAAAGCTGCAGGGTGGGGAGAAGAATTTACTAGTTTCTACCTCGATGTCTTTTGCAAGCGTGACAGAAACTGGGCTGAGATGCTCAGCCGGGGGTTGAAGAATTCCTCGGCGTCACAGACCTTCACCTCTCTCAGCGACCCATGGAAAAGCTCTAGGGGAGATGCCAAGAAGGCCCTCAGAATCCCTCCTGCTGACCAGCTCTGGGCCTAGCAGACCCACTGACCAGCAGGGAGGTTCCCAGAAACCCCCATCAACAGATAGCCCCAGGCCCCTGGAGCCAATGGAGCAGAGGGAGGGAGAGCTGTGCAGCTCAGGACGTGAGGAAAAGGCATGAGCTCCTACCCACCCGTCTCCCTGCCCCAGCTCAGGACGTGAGGAAAAGGCATGAGCTCCTACCCACCCGTCTCCCTGCCCCAGCTCAGGACGTGAGGAAAAGGCATGAGCTCCTACCCACCCGTCTCCCTGCCCCACAGGGAAAGCCTTGAGCAGGGTAACCGGCTGTGCCCAGCTGGATGGACAGCCCCAGTGGGGCTCTGGGGTGGGGCCCTACCTTCAGGATGGCCATCAGTGAGCGTCTCAAAGTGGTGGCGGAGGAACTTCTCTTGCTCAGGAGTCTGGGGCAGGGAGCTGTTGGGCATGCCTGGCCCCAAGGGCCGGGACAACTCTTCTGCTGTGCCTGAGCACTCCCCTGAAGAGAGGCCGTGAAGGTGTAAGGGAGGGGACAGAAAAGCTATCAACACTATGAGTCACAGCAGACACCACCTGACATGGTGGAAGCTGGACTCGCCCATCACACACCCCGTCTCCACCAGGCTGAGAAGTCTCCCTGTCCTCCAGGTGAGGAGACGGGCTCAGTGAGGGCTGTGGGGCAGGAGTTATGTGCTGTGACCACCCCCCAGGTGCCAGGACCACACTGCCTTTGCCCACAGAACTGGCCCCGCTTACCTAGTGTGTGGGGCATTGTCATGACAAACTGAAGGTCTGGGTCCGGCCGTGGAGGGGAGGACTGGAGGGTGGTGAAGTTGCACTCTAAGTCAGCCTCTGACTCCCCAGAGTCTGAAGGAACAGAACGTGGCAGGGACCATGTCTGTTTTCTGTGACAAACTCTGAACTTTAGGAGGACTGGGTCAAGGTCACCATTGGTGCCCAGCAAGGGCCCTAGCTGAGTGAACACACTGTCACAGGGCCCCTGCCTCCCCTCACTTACCCTCGGGCGGGCTCTGATCCTTGGAGCTGACAGAGGAGACCTTGGCTTGCTGGTCTCCAGGCCCTGCCTCTGTCTCCTTGTCGCTGCGATGCCAGTGGGGATGAGAGGGCACAGTAACTTATACTGGTGGGAAACAACCGGCCCCCAGAACCCCTAGGCACTGCACCCTGCTCCTATCGGAAGCACTGCCTCGGCCTCTCCTACCTCCTCCAACTACACTTCCTTCCCCTAGGAACCTCTGACCCCTACCTGGGACCTGGGAAACAGGCTGTAGCTGAGGCCAGAAGACCGGGCTACTGCTCCTTCTGGGCCTGAGCCACTCTGTCCCACCCATCCCCAGCCCTTCAGGCCCACTGAGAGCAGAGAGCAGTTCTTCCAGGGTGTGCCTATCAGCTGAGGCTTCCTCTCTCCAACTAAGGCCCTGGTGAAAGGGCACCTACCTGTCTGTCCCTGTGACTGTCACTTCTGTCTCCAGGGAGTACGTGATGAGCTCACTGGTCTCAGAAGACTCCCTCTGTAGGGACAGGAAGGAGGGACGCCCACAGCCACTGTCCTGGGGACTCTCCGACTATAGGGTGAGGAGAACACAGCCATTCTGAGGTGGCCATGGCACCCAGCAATGGTGCTCAGTAGTGTACTGGCAGTGGCCAGAACCCCACTGCTGGACACTGAGCCAGGGCCTTGGTCCAGTGCTTGGCTCACCGTGAGCTCACGTGGCGTTTCCCCACATTGTCCATTCCTCTACAGATGAGAAACAAGAATGGCTCCAAAAGTAGTAAGTGAACCAACTCCAACCCTTTACAAAGCCATTTACATAAAGTTCAAGAATGGGCAAACCATTCCATGGTGGGAGGCCACATTGGGTGGGAACAGTGACTGAAAGGGGAACGGGGTCTTCTAGGAAGTAGAAAAAGCTATGCTTTGACTGGGTGGGGAATATACACCAATTATACCGGGGATTCATCAAGCTGTACACCTGTGGTTCATGCCCACTACTGCATGTATATTACACTACAATAAAGAAGAAAATTCATGTAACAGAATAAACAAGAATTTGGTTTGGAGGTGCCCATGGGTGGCGTGGTAATTGGGGTGCTGGACTCCCACATGGTTGATCATCGTTCGAATCTTGAACCTGATGGCTTATTTTCTTACTCTCTCTCTCTCTGGTGAGTGCATGTGACCTATAGCAAATTAAATAATAATAATTTAAATTAATTCTTTGAAAGAAAAAAAAAATTTGGCTTGGAAAAGAAGACAGTCGGAGCCTAAGGTTGCTTGTGCACCTCAAGGGTCTGGGCTCTGTTTATAGCACCGGGTTCCTGTGAAAGCCCTCTAAGGCAAAGGAGACTGTTAGAAGCATTTTTTTGAAAACTAAAGCCCAGAGAGGCTAGTCTCTTTCTCCAGGTCACAGAGTCAGGGAGGGTCAGGGCTCTATCTACTCACATGTGCCTCACTAGGTACATACCTTTTCTAGGGCCCAAGCTCTTAACTTCCCAGGGAGTCTCTGTCTATGCTAAGAAGCGGCAGTGGGTCTGGGGTTCACTCTCTTGTCTTCTACCATCTCAAGTAATCCTCTTTGTAACCCTGGGCTGGCACAATCAGGTCTATATTCTTTTTCTTTTTAAAGAATTATTTAATTCATTTTATTATTACTATTTTTATTATTACTTTAAAATTTGCCATAGGGCACGTGCGCTTACCAGAGAGAGAGGGAAAGTGAGAAATCAAGCTGCCATGTCTGGGACTTGAACCATGGCTGACCATGTGGGAGTCCAGTGCCTTAAACACCACGCCACATGCTGGCCCCTCTTTTTCTTAATTTGCTAGATAGCATGTGCCCTCACCAGAGAGACAAACAGACAGAGAGAAAGACTGTGCCCCCAATGGGATGTGGTCATGCTATAATCACGTCTCCTCCATTTCTTTTATCCTGTTGGGGTTTTGGGCACACACATATAAGTGTCTGGCATGCTTTTCAAGCCACCAGGGCTGGGATTCATACCATGCAGTAGACCATATGGGATCTGGCTCCTTTAACCACAAGTCATGGTGGCCAGTCCAGCTCCATTTTCAAAATGAGGAGGATGAGGCCCCACGTCCTAGCTGGGCAGTTGTGGTACAGGGTCGTAGGCTGGGCTAGGGCATGTGCTATGTACCTCGCTCAGAAGGCCTGCCAGGTTCTGCGGCTCCACTGTATCCAGAACGGAGTTATCCAGGCTCTCAGGCTTCATGGGGGTGAAGTAGCAATCCAGGTCCTGGGCGTCCAAGATGGTCTTGAGAGGCTCCTGGTCGGCCCGCTCTGCCCAGCGGCCATGTGGCTGGTAGCTGCGCTTGGCATGAAAGGCCGAGCCATCCGCCACATCGTCGTCTCCTAGCTTGAGGGACAGGGGACGGTCAGTCAGTCAGCCCAGTGCTCACCATCTCCAGCAAAGGCCGCGGATGCTGCACAAGCCTCAGCCAGACTGTGGACGCTAAACACCACTCGGAAACCACTTGCAGGTACAGATCCCCACCCTGAAGCTTTGTCTTCAACAACAGCACACACAGCTCTACATCCCTGCATGGGTGTTTAGTAGGTATTTTTTTAAGAGAGATTTTTGCTATAGGGTAAGTGTGCTCACCAGAGTCAGTGAGAAATTGCCCCCTTGGGGGACAGCCATGCCGCAATCCCTTCTCCTCCATTCTCCTCTCAGGATTTTGGGCACACATGCCCACATGCCTGGCATGAGTTTGTTTTTTTTTTTTCCTTTTTTTAAAAGAATTATTTTATTTAACTTTATTTATTTATTTTAATTTGAGAAGAGGGTAAT